AGATGGCTGAAAGAATAATGGTAGAGGACTGACTACAGAAACTGTTATATCTTTAACTTTCTCCTGAGGAGGTAAACTACTTTTGGTTTATGTTATGTTCTTAAATCAGGCTGCAAGCGTGATTGCTTTGTTAGTGTAAGAGACTGTCAAAATTGTGTGTCAATGAGAATCTGCAGGTACATAACTGCCTTGCCTTTGCCTCCAGCTACTTGCAGTTTCTCTTCTACCTGTTAAATGCATTGCTTATCTTGAGTAGCTACTGGCAGCAGTGTAGCTTAGGCACCATAAGGAGATCTGGGAAGTGAGCTGGAGATGTCTGAAAAAATGCTGTGTGGTATCTCGCTTCAGTATTCTGTATTTTGCCCAGAGGAGCTTGAGTGACAAATGCAATATAAATGTAGAGATGGAATAGATTATCCTGTTCCAGGTTTTGGGAGAGATTGACAGTGCTTAAATGAGAAGGGGGAGAAAAAAGAGAAATATTTCTAGTACAAGTGACTGCTAAAACAGATACAGAGCTTTAGAACTTCTTGCTTACATGGCTGTCACTTGGTTGAAGTCATGGTTAGGCTTTACTTCTTTTGAACTTCTTGCTCAGTAATCCCCATTAAAAATAAAAGGTCTGTTTTCCAGAGTAAAGACATCTTAATTTTGATTTCAAGATTAGGTTATTACTTCCTCTTTGAACTCCATACTAAGTGCAGATAACAAAAATACAGGAGAAGTGTAGCTGTAAGGAAGAGGTTTGACACACGGCAATTAAGAAGGTGAAAGGTTGGTGTCAACATCTGGAGTAGCAAGAGAAAAAGGTTTTATCCTAGCTGTCTGTACTGGGTCAGGTTGAGATGCAGTTAATTTTCTTCATAGCAGCCTATGTGGTGCTGTGTTCTAGATTTGCGACTAAAACAGTGTTGATGGAACACCAATGTTTTAACTTTTGCTGAACAGCGCTTACCCAGTGTCAAGGCCTTCTGTTTCCTACTGTGCCCCCTACCTCAGGAGCACGATGGGGTCAGCTGGAGGTTGGGAGGGGACACAGCCAGAACAGCTGGGCCGAACTGGCCAGAGAGATATTCCATACCATAATGTCCTGCTCAGCAATGAAACCAGGGGCTGCAGGGCGGGGAGGAGGGGTTTTTGACAAAGTAGCAGTTGGTCAGAGGCTGGGGAGGTATTGGTCTGCTTGTGGCGAGTGATGGCTTTTGCACTGTTTGTTTCTCTGTCTTTCTGTTTTCTTTCTGTGTGGGGTGTTTTTTTTTTTTTTCCTTTTCCCTTTTGCTTGTTAAACTGTCTTCATCTCAACCCATGAATTTTTTTTGCTTTTGCACTTCCAATTCTTTCCCTGATCCTGCTGCAAGGGAATGAGCAAGTGGCTGGGTGAGGACTGACCTGCCAGCCAGGTCTGGTCCACCACAATGTCCTGGATACCTCGGAATGTTTACTTCTAACCTATGAACACCTTGTCCCTCCTTCCCACCTTGATGCCTCCTCTGCTATTGGTACAGTCTTGCAAATTTCTTTATTTCACGAATACAATATTGACAACTGCAACAAAGAGACAGAAAGTAGAATTAGAAGGAGCATGGATTATTAATATCTTCCACCAAGAGGAAGTAAAGTGTTGTGTGGTGTATGTTGAACAGTTATAGGTTCATTTCCAGTAACACTGAACTCATCCCCTGTGTTAACAACACGCAGTGGTGTGGGATATTGAGTAGAAGCACCTCAGTCATTTCAGCTGGTGAGAGCATAACCAAGGAATCTGCAGCCGTGCTGTCCAAGAAAATAGGGTCACTTTTTCCTAACCAGTGTGACTTGTAGGGCTGCGTCAGTATGGATGAACTACCCCACTTTTTCATATATAGCTATTCTTTTTGTCTTGAATTCCTCCTCCTCCTCCCACAAAAGTCCTAGATCTTAATTACCTATTCAGAACTCCTTGGTGTAAATGGAGCAATGTTTATTAGCAGAATTTTTCCTTGAAATGATTGTTGATATTGGTATATGGTACAGATTGGTGTCTTGGCTGTGAATAAATATGTCATCTTGGTGATATTTGGCAGCAGGATTTTACTGCTGTTAAGGAATAAGTGAGAAGGTACCAGGGAGGGAGAGGTAATAGCAACTGGTTTGTGCATCATCAGTACACTGGCTTTAACCAGTTCATCTACCAATTTACATTGCTCGATGTTGAGAAGAAATTGGCAGAAGGCTCAGGAAACCAGGGCACAGGAAATTCTCCTCAACACTGAGTCTCAAAAACTCTGTCGAAATTGAGAATGTCATACAGCTGTCTGCTGACTTGGTTTGAAGTCCAGTAGTCCATGTTTGTTTTGGTAAGCTTTCCAAGAGATCTTACTGCATTTTTGTGAAATAGTGGGGGACCAAGAGCTATACGGATTTCAGGTTCATGAGTTAAATAGTCAAAAGACAAGGTGAAATAGGATGCAAGCCTGCTTTTTCGTATAAAATGCAGTAGATTCCATGCTCATTTAGCTACAGTTTTGTCAGAATACTTACTGATATTTCAAGTGCTTTTTAATGTTAGAATAAAGGAAATAGAGACTTATTTGTTCTGAAACAGTAGGTAACACTGTCTTTTTTTCTTTGATTTGTGTGTGTGTTTTTTTTTTTTAATAGAATATTCAAATAAAAACTTTGGCAGATGATGTGGTAAGGTCTTTGTAACGTCTTAATTTGCAATGGTAACTACACGCTGCATGCTATTTTACTGCAAATGTTGTGGACAATATAATATGTTCTTATAAGGATATTAAGCATTAGACTTCAGAAAATTTAAAGGTAGTTGCCACATGATTGAAGTGGAACCATTTTTGGTAATAAATGTGTACTCTATGTCAAACCACAAGTTTGTATTCAGTAGCACCAGCTTTCTAATTCTGAATACTTTGAAACCTGTTGCAAAGTATTTTTACAGCAATTTATACCAAAATTAATTTCAGTAAAATTATAAACTTTTATCTTCTATATATAATAGTTAAGCCACACTGGCCACTTAGTTAATCATCACTTACATGTCTGAAGGGAAGAAATTGTACCCAGTAATCATGTAGAAGATTCATTTATGGCTTGAAAGTGATCTCACCATTGCAATCTGATTAAACAAATTTGTTGTTAATAAGGTCTACTTGAAACAGATTGCAATGTGGTGAAATTGATCTTAAATGGCTTCTTTGTTTGGTGACTGAATGGGTGTTTTAATGTAAGTGAACAGTAAAACTGCATTTGATGTATATTGGCTGATTTTGGATACTGCCTTTCAGGCATTATGTCATATCTTTGGCCTTTATAATAGGCTATGCCCTAATTTTGCTTCCAAAAAATGAAAGGTAAACTAATCTAATAAAGGAAAAATGGGATTAAAGTAAAATTGTTGCCTTGTTAAAGACATTAACAGTATCCTTATAGGTAATGTGTTTCTGTCCACAAGTGTAAGACTTTTAAGGAAGAAGGAAACCCAGACCCAACCCCCTTCCCCTCAAACAAGCAAACAAAAAGCTCCAAAGAATTTCAAAGGGCATGCGGCTTATCTAGGGATACATTCCCTTCAAAAATTTAAGGCAGACTTGTAGGATCTCAAAAACCAACAAAAAAAAATAAACCTGACAGCAAAACAAACAAACAAAAAAGGAATCAAAACAACAATAATAAAAAGAGAGAACCTTTCTTCCCCATATTCTATAGCATTTGGTCAAATTTCTCCACTCTTTAGTGGACTAATCTGAAATGAATCCAGATTTTCTACAGATGAAATATGCCATTAAACTTTTAACACCTCACAGAGGTTGTTGAATTACAGAAAATATTCTTTCGGTTTATGAGTTCATAGATTGCAATAACTGCTATGAATGATTCTGGTAACCCTATGTAAGCTGCTGTTAGATGAAAGCACATCTTCATAAGGCTGTTCAGTGACTGAAATAAATTAGCGTTTGTTGATGCAAACGGTTAATTTAGAAAAATCGCTATAGATGTAAAGTTCTCAAAATGAACAAACATACATATACATAGTTAAAGACAGTATTAGTAAATAAAAAAAAAGTTCTGACTCTGTTCTGTATAGTTACATATTAATAATACAGTAATAAATGGCCTTATAAGGAAGGTGCTCTTTTTGGTTGTTTCCAGTATTAACAAATTAACTGAGTAAGCATGCTTTAAAAAAAAGGCTGGAGGTTTGGTATAAGGCGTAAAATAAGTCAACCTTAACCAGTGAAATGTCATTGCAGACGGTATGATATGCTTTCACTAATGTCTGTTATGTGTTTTTTTTAACTGTGGATGGCTGCTTCTATGCAAGTAATCCGTTACCTGGCTTTTTAAAATTATGCACTAATTTCAGGAGTCCGTACTCAAAAACACTTCAAGGAATTGTAAACTATACTTGGAGCATTAATTCCTCTACAAACTTTATTTTACTTTAGCAGGATTTTTTTATAAGCCTGATGAACTTGTGAGTACCTCCTTCCCAACGCTGGCTTTTTCAGTTGTCCTCCAAAGACTTATAGCTCTTCAGGTGAAGGAACGCTTGGACATAACCTTTGTGGTACCATATTTATTCACTATCAGGATAATTAGGGAGTAATGTGAGAAGATGAAGTCAAGAATTTGAAATGCTTAGAGTTTAACATAGATGGTATACTTTTGAAACTGTGAGAAATATTTACAACCCTTTTTCATGTGACCTGTCATGAATTTACCTTACATGTTGCTGTGTTTCTGTGAAAAGTAATCTCTAAGTGTTAGAGTATTTTTACTTACAGTTCAGTTTGAGTTTTAACTCTGCTGCTTGGATTAACTAAAAATGTGTGTATTACTGCCATGTAATTGGCTGCTTTCCTATATTTCTGTTTCTGCTTATTTTTTGATGGATGTCTTTGCAGCGTGACAGAATAACAAGCTTCAGAAAATCAGCAGTGAAAAAGGAGAGACCTCTCATTCAGCATCCAATTGACTCTCAACCTTCTATAAGTGAAATCCCGCTTGCCCAGGCACTTGTTGATGAGCGTTGCATGAACTTATCAGAAAAAGAAGTTATGGATCTCTTTGAAAAAATGATGGTAAGATGTTGTGCTACATTCTTTTATGAGATTTTACTTTATTTTCTTGTTGGCGTTTATTATGTACTAGTGATTCTCAAACGATGTCATTTTGTAAGTATTAACTACTTGGGAGGGCATAGCATAGCACAGGCCTGATAGGCCTGGCTGAATTGGCACATGAACAACTGAGCAACTCATACAATGCTAGTATTATATATGTTTAAATTACTTGGTCTACTTCTTCAGAGAAAACAAAAGGAAAAAGCTAAACATGAAATTCTTAAGCTGTTGATTGCTTCATTAAGATAACCTCTATAGACCTTAATGGAGTAGTTAGATACTGTTGTTGAAGGATAGTTTTTAATGAACTTAAGTAAATACCTCTGGAAAATAGTAATTTCCGTTAATAAAATCCAAATGTGTAGAAAGCTGAATCTTTTTATGGTCTTGAAATTTTTTGTTTTAGGATTGCTTGTCAAGGTTTGTGATTCTGCTGACAAGTAAGCTTTTCTATTAGTAATACAGAAATAAACTTTTGAAGTAGGTATGTATTAGTTCTGCGGTGAACATTGGTGTCGATATGTGAAGTATCAGGAAATGTAGTCTTTTGGGTATGGTCAGAAATACTGTCTTCTGTATCGTTCTTTAAAATTGTTGTAAACTGCCACACAGTCAGTATGGCCTAAGAACTGTCTTGTTCCATTGTGTAGCTCATGTCTGTTTGCTGAGGTTGTGAATCTCTTTTGAAAGACTGGATAACACTTGCGTGATTTGCTTGTTAGATGAAGGGATTAATTTTTAACTTTTCCAATTAATGTGAATTGAAGCAGACATTAGGTCTATCTTCCATAGACTAATTTGAAAAGCTGTTAGCTAGTACGTTATTACAGTAGCATTTACTGGTCTTAGCTGCTAATCTGAAGTTACTTTGACTGTTAATGGCAAGACTAGTCATGAGTGGTACCAACTTCATATTGTATTTCATCAGTTATTAAATTGAAAATCTTTAATCTAGTAGAATATTTGGATTTTTAGGTTTGTCTTAAATACATCAGTTGCAATGCATTTGCATCTACTCCTGCCACAAGCTAATAAACTAATAAACTATGTAATAACAGCCATCTCATTAGATAGTGCAGGAATGGTGTCTGTTGTGATAGGTTTTATAAAAAAACACAGGAACTGCACAAGAGTTAACACTTATGTGATCAACTTGATGTGTAGAATTTTTGGTGTTGTCCTCTAGTTTTATTTCTTGAGCCAGATTTCACTGATGGTAACTACCCTTGATGTAATTATAATTTTGGCTAAGTCTTGTAAACAGCGAATGCTTGAAGTGACAGAATTAAATGAGATAATCGTGTAGCTCTGTTTGTTTAAAAATGAGCTGTTTGTTTAAGGAAAGGAGCATAGAAATAACAAAGACAAACGAAAAGTGTGAAATAGAATCTTGATGTTGTGTGGTCTGTTTCTTTACAGGAAGACATGAATCTGAATGAAGAACGTAAAGCTCCTTTAAGAGATAAAGACTTCACCACAAAACGCGAGATGGTTGTCCAATACATTTCTGCAACTGCCAAATCTGTAAGTAGTCACCTCTCCAAGACGGATGAAAGTAAGAAGCTTAGCTTTGTGTTACACTTTTCAAGCCTGAAAATTTCAATTCTTTTGTCTGGATTTATCTTCTAAAAGTGGTAGTAAAAGAGTAATAGATCTATACTTACTAATATACTTTTAAATGCTTGCAGCTGCTGCTGAAGGGTTGGTTTGTATTTCGGTTGTTGGGCAATGCAAAAACTTGATGCTTTCTTACAAACCACCAGAAGCTGCAAATCTAGTGATGTAGAGTAATGGGTGGAACCTGAGCATATTTCTGTGGAATTCATCTTAGGAATTTTTGGTACCAAAAGTTTTTGGAAGGTATAGTGTGATTTTATGGTTTCAGTAATGGCATATGTGTTAGGTGTACAATTTGCAGTGTTAGAAACAGGGAATGAAAATATTGAAAGTATTTAAAATTGAAGTCAAGTCGGTATTTTAGCTTAATTTGAATATGTTGAGTACTGTACTGGCTTGAAGACTGTGTTAAATATTCTGCTAAGAAATGTTGTTAAGGTAAACAAAATGGTTCTGTTCATGAAAAGATGGTCTTAAAATGAGTTTCAGATTATATTTTGAGTGGGGAAAAAAAAGCATTCAGACCTTTCATTCATGTTGATAATTCTCTGTACTTACGTTGATTGATTAACCCTTAGCAGATGGATCCCTTGTGCAGAATTTTTGAAGTCTGTCTCATTCCGGGTGCCAGAAGTATAAGAGAATGACTGGATGCCCTAACATTTGTTAGGGTAGAGAAGTACGATTTCAAATAGTGAAGAGCTGCAATTTATTTTCTACAGTGGGACTAATAGTAGTGGGACTGTTAATACTGATTAGTTGTGAAATACAACAGTAATGCTTTTTGTGTGTTAAAATTTGACTATGGCAAATATAGTTATTAACACATAAAAGGAGAATATGCCACAAAAATTCATGAATGTTGGATGAAACAGATATATATTTGTATATGCGTATATGTTGTGATTTCCTTAGAAATAGGTTTTGTCCTGGTTTGTGCGAGTATTTGTTGTATAAGGAATTTTAAAGAAGCTAGTGGTGAATTTTGAGGAACTGAATGTAGTGCAGTACTGGGGAGAAGTGGGGATGTGGGCTGGTAGCTTTATGTATTCAAGGGGCAGTGGTATGCTTCAAGTGATAAAATTTGCTATCAGTGTAGTTCTTCACTAAAATTAGGTAATGCATGTGATATTATTTGGAAATTAGGATGCATCTCATTTTTTTTCACACTTAAATTATGGCGTGAAATAAAAGGTTACTGGAATGAAGACTGTGTGGAATAATTGTTCAAATGCCTAATGGCAGCACTGCTAGCAGCTCTACAGACCTGAATCTGAGTGCTAAATACAGATAGCTTTAAGTAATAATCTGTTTCTTAGTGAAATAAACTGGGAAAGAAGATGATGTTGATGTCTGCCTAACGAATCTATAAGCATGAACTGCAAGCAGTAAGGTTGACTTGTCTTACTTATAACCATTAAAATCAGCTCTGCAGAGTTTAAAAAAATTAAAGTTATGATGATACACAATTATTAAATCCAAATGCTTTGCATTAAACATTATAAACTTAAGTGAGGAACAAGTTACATTATAATGTGGAAAAGGTGATTTATGTTTCTGAAAGGAGTGATGTTCCTGCATGAGTTCATCTTGGCAAAATCCACAGCCCTTTAGCCTGTCCTTAAAGCATGGTCTAGCTAAACAGACAAGTTATTGGAGAAATCATTCAAGCTTATGCACTGAATATTATGAAATTTCCTGTTAATATACTTTGCCTAGACTAGCTTTGGGAACTATTGATTATGTGTTATAAGGATTTTTTTGTCTTCACTTGATCAGTGTTAAATCTTAAATTTTTCTTAGTAAGCAAAAATGTTATATTGAAGCAGTAGAAACTTTCATAATGGAAGTATTTACAATTCTTTTCCAAAAAGTAGTTGTAACTATGGTGATCTCTTTTATATATACTGATATTGAAATGTAGCTACCTGAAGTAGCATATTTTTGTAGCTGAGTAAGAAAAGCATGACTACCATTGCATGTCTAACTGCTGAAAACTTTAACAGATTGCATTACTGCCACCATATGCGCTGCAGCATGGGAAACTTAACAGAACTGGGGATATGTTAGCCAAAATGTACTAACAATTAAAAAAAAAAAAAAAAAATTCCCCAAATGTCCTCATACATGAATGTGTGCTTTGAACTTGAGTCAGCACCAGTATGGATGTTTCATACATACACAAAATGTTTTTCCTAATGGAAAAAAGGTTCGTATTGAAACTTGTATGCTTCAGTAAGTCCTTCTTGCAATTGAATTGCAGCACTTGAATGGAATAATTTAAGGTTGTTTAGAAATATAAATGAACTTTCTGTAGCGTGTTGCCCTAATTTAACTATTAAATAGCTGGCATCTTAACTGATTTAAAAAATTAGAGCTCAACTGTAAAATGTTGATTGGGATCTTACAATAAAGCAAAACCTCTTTTTTCACTGTTGATTTTGTCTTCTGTTTGGTTAAACTGCTCTTCTGCTTCGTTGAATTCAAGCCCTAACCAATTTTTACTGTATCATGAATTGTCAGACTTCCTTTTCTTCAGACCATCTTCAGACTTGTCTTCAAAAAAAATCCTGATTGCATTCAGAATGATCTTTCTTAAAATTTTCTACTTTTTCTTTGGTCACAGACAATTGTTCATCTGTCTTCCTTTTTTTATACTGAAGATACTTGGGCCTTTTCTTCTGCTTAGAGCTCACAAAACACGCTTAACGCGACTTTTCTTGCAGTTCATTTCATGTTTGTTTATAGTTAGGCTTTTGAGCTCTCTCCACTGCTTTGAAAATATCACTCTCATTTGCTGATGTTGTCTTAACCAAATTATTTTCAAATTTGGTGCTTCGTTTTCTCTGCCTTGTGTGCCATCTGCAGCATGTTTGACCATGCTTTTCTGAAACACCATACTGTCTTCAGAGTTCTGAGTGAGAAAGAAAACTTGGTTTTCAATGGATGAGAAAAAGCTTTCCTTTTTCCTTGGGGGATGGAGGAGGTGTAGAAGCTAATAAGCTGGATGCTTTCAAGTGAAGTGATTATCTGTGTTTCCGATTTCTCCACTCACTTGAAGAGAAAGATTGTTGACCATGGAAATTATACTTAGGAAATAGTGAAGGCCCAGAATTCTGTTTTGGGGGCTGAAGTTGGTGACTTCTCATGCCACACTGAATGAGTTGAACAGCGGTGAGAGAAGAAGGTAGTAAATTAGAAAAAGAGATTGTCTGGCGATGTCAGTCCATCTTGTGCTTCTAGAGGAAGCTTCATCAGGAAGAAAAGAGGTGGCTGTGAAAGATGTGCAGGGACTTCTGTCTTCTGAAAGACTTCCTAAAAGAATAATGCAAGAGATAAGAATAGAAAATTAAGCAGGTCGAGGCTGAATGGATACAAATGAATTCAGATCTTGGAACAAAACCATACTGTCTCGGGCTCTTAATCACATAAAAGTGGTTATTCAGTAAACTAGCTGCTCTCCGATTGCAGCAAATAGCTGACAAGGAAAGGCCTACAATATTTAAGCAGTCGTCCCGAGTCCTGGTGTTCACAGGAACGTGGCTGTTTGTGCCAACTGATAGAACAGGGCAGAGATGCGCTGCCTTTCTGCAAAGTTTCTTCTGTGTCAAGTCAACTTCTTGCTCATGAATATGCAGAGATGCTGTTCTATGGTAAAAAAAGCGAAGATGTCATTCTGAAAATCACTGTTTAATTATCCATGTAATTAAAAGCATCCATACTGAGCCGTTGAGGAAAAATGCCACAAGAGATTTTCTGAAATGCAAGTTAGATTTATAACTGTAGGCTATGTTTTTGATTAGGAAAACTTAATTAAATTCAGTGATGACATCATGTAAATAGATCCAAAGCTCCATAACAAATGAAATTGTTATATGGACAAGGAAGTCAGTATGTCATTAGTTTTTTTCTGTAGTTTTCTCAGTGTCATATAAAAAATATCTGACCTGATAATTTTAACAAAAAAGGCATATCTCGGGATCTTGAAAGATGTAGATGTCAAGCTAGGTATCTAGTTACTTTTTGTAAATGTGTACAATACTGATGATTCAGCAGCAGAACATAAAAATTTCAAATTATTTCCAGTACAGTAGAACTGCTATTTTCCTGTTGAGAAGCTATAACTCTTAAACAGTTTGATAAAGTAATAAAAGAGTGTACTACTAATGATTAAATATTGAAAAATTTGTGTGATACTACATCCTACTAAGTACGTTGCCGTGTTTATTTATGTATTATTATTATCTTTTTTACACAATAACCTCTCTTGGCTGACCACTGCATGCAGATAGTCGGAAGTAAAGTTCCGGTGAGTATGAACGTGATAGTTTTGTTTTTTCTTATGAATACACTTCCCTTTTGAGAGATTAGGCTGGAATATTTTGGACTTTTATCTTGGATTTTAAAGTTCAGTGGGCATAACTGAAGCCTTGTTTTAACAAAATAGTTGTCAACTACCTCAATCATGTTTATCTTACTAGTAGAAAATAATTGATTACACTTTTGAGGGATCTGTTCTTAAGTTTTCAGGAACCTATCTCCAGATACTTCAAGCTCACTGATAACTAATCTGTTCATTGTGAGCAACAAATATAATTTAGGTTTGTCTTGCTTTTTATTAAAGGCAATCGCTTGAAAATTTAAATTTACGGTATTTGGCTTCATTCTGTTGAGACATGGATTTTTTTAATGGTCTAATTGTTAGTATTCATAGTTTATTGTGGGATGTGTCAGCTGCTGGATACATCAGTGTGAGAGTAAGATTAATATAAAGGATTCAGAAGCTCAATTAATAAGCATAAGATGAGATCACTCAGCATAACTTTTCTCTGATAAAGTGCTCAGCTACATTCTATGTTATCATGATAGAATTTAGCAATTTTTTTTTTTACCAAGTATTTGGGACT